CTGCTACTAGAAACATGTAACCCAGTGCAACCTGTTTCATGTATATATATATATATATATATATATATATATATATATATATATATATATATATATATATAATATATATATATACATACATCTATATATATATATACTATATATATATATACATATATATATATATATATATACCATACACTTGACCTGAATATATAGTATATATAATATATATATATATATATATATATATATATATATATATATCAGGTCAAGTGTATGGTCTTCATGATTACCCTGCTACTAGAAACATGTAACCCAGTGCAACCTGTTTCATGTCCTAATGCTTTGTGGGATACGTATTCTAAGCAAAGGCTGGAAGGTGTGCGCTTCCTATCATCAGTACTATTTAATATCAGTCATGCCTATAATACTTGCTCCACTGTTGCTGCCCATTCGTGTACATTTACAAGGACTTTTTTAGAATTATATATATTTTTTTACTTTATTTATTTTTGGTGTGTCTTTTATAGCTCGAGGTGCCTTAATAAATGTGTTAGCTCACCTGTAATTTACTTTGTATGCTTGTGTTCTCTTTGAACCTCTAGCACGGTGTTCACTCGCCAGTAAGTTACTTTATTTTTGTTTGAGTTCTGCCTGAACATCTGGCACGGTGTTCATTTACCCATAAGTTACTTTATGTAAGTTTGTGTCAGATTCAGGATCATCACAACTAACCTGCAACTGGTATCATGTAACCTAGTACTACCAATCTAGCCCTGCTGCCTTAACTTTGACTTAAAAATCCTCTGCCTTGGGGCTCTTGGTTGAGGTTACAGATTAAGTTTTAATAAAAATACTCATCATAGGCAGATGTTAACAGCATCCACCTAAATTTTCCCTGACTTAGGACTCTTGTTTGAGTAAAGGCTAGAAATTGTGTCTCAATAAAAATATTTATCTTAGGCAGATTTTAACTGCATCCTGCTACTGTCTTGTTGAAAGGCTCTCAGGCAAAGATTTTTTAATCTTTTTTTAACTGCTGGATGATGCTAGTTTCTTACCATTTTTAATTTTGAAAGTAACCACAATTCATTGTAGCTGTAGTTGGTGATGATATTGCCAGCTAATGTTAAGGGCATATTATTGCAATTTTTTTTTTTATAACTTAAAATTTTTTTAAACTAAATATTAACAAATAATGTTATAGATAATATGATTTACTGTACAAAAAGTCACATAATGTCACATACTGTACAAAAAGTTCAAGCCACATTCTGTACAAAAAGTCCCATAAGTCAAGTAACTGTAACTTTTTTATATGGTTTATTTTTTCATTAGTTGTAAATTATCTCAATAAACACATAAATGTCAAAATAACATTTAGATAAAAAGTTTATTTTTTGACAATTATCTGTTAGGAATGAAATCCAGAATAATTTTTAGTACAAACCTCTATTAGATGTCAATATTCATACATATTTTCACCGTATATTATATAATGTATAAAAGTGTTTGAAGCCAGACATAATACAAAGCCTGTAAATTTAGACCAATATTAAACAATATTAAATTTAGACCAATATTAAACATTTTGAGTTTATTTAACTAATGTTTTGAGTTTATTTATTAATTTATATATATAAGAATTCTTTTATTTATCTATCAGTCTACTTTACATTTATAAAAAACATAATAAACAAATATTATATACAAACACACTATTACATGATACTGTTATGACAATATATTATCATATTATAGTAAACAATATTAAATGACTTTTTTTAATACTTCACCTGTTTATTGTTTTCAGTGATGTACAGTAAAAAATGACACAAGATTTCTTATGGTTTGATAATTTTTTTACAGATTTTTACAGATATTAAAAACTTTTTAATTTTTTAAAAACATGTTTCAAAAAAAAAATTTATTAAAAATGGTAATAAAATTTTTCTTGTCCTTACGTAAACCATTCAAATAAAATCATCAAAAATATTCAAACTATATATATACAATGTTTTCTTTGCGAAGTTATTTGGAGTTCTCTTAATGTATATATTGTATCAATATTAAAAATGTTTAAACAACACTTAATAAAAGTATATTAAAAAATTTGAAATGTAAACTTTAATCCTTTTTGTGTATACTTTATACAATATTGACTTGGTCAAATATTGTAAACATTTGATTGACATTTAATAAACGTATAGACTAATAGGTTTGCAATGTATTTTTTAGCTTCACTTAATTTTGCAATTTGCCAAATATAAAAACTAAATACTTCAAAAAAAGCTAAATTAAAAATAGAATTGAACTATAGAGATAATATTATTTCACAATAAAACTTAATGACGTAATGGGCACATTAAGCTTATTATATCGACAACATATAAAATATATATATATAATATAAAACAAAATATATAATATATATATAAATATATAATAAAAAATATTAGAATTTCAGACTTAACAATTATTTTAAATTAAGTAACCAATTCAAGTTAAAATTTAACTATATATATATATATATAGATTATATATAAATATATATATATATTATATAATATAATTATATATATATATATATATATATATATATATATATATATATATAGGCTTACCATAATTTTGAAGTTATAAACCGGGACACGCAGGGGTTGCGGGGATGGAGATTGTTGGGAGGGGTTGTTTAGAAAGAGGTATTGGTGTATGTGTGTGTTTGTGTGTGCATGTGGGGGGGGGGGGGGCCTACCCTGGGCACTCAATTTTCTAGGGAACTGTTCTGATCTTAATGGGACAAAATTACTATTCATTTTTTCTTCAAGATTAGATTTCAATTTTTTTAGTTTCAAAATTAGATCTGTTGCACTTTATTTACTTTTTTCCATAGCTAAAACAGTTTTGTTGAAATTATTTTTAATTATTTAGTATCATGCACAAACCAGAAATATAACTCACCTGTTTCACTTTCAAAAAATGCTTGCAAAGCACGTGGACAAATTTTATGAGAAACAAAGTATGACTTCAGGGTCTCAAACATATACAAAATTCTTTCAACTGCTGTTAACAGAAAAAGAAATCTATTACTTTCATGGTGGATTATTTTTCTATATTCTATACCTACAAAATCACAAAATATTTTTAATTCAGTTACTCGAACTGTGTAGACATGAAAATACTTATATATTTTCACAACAAGAAGTTAAACTCCAGCTACACATACACTAATAAAGTCAACGGTTAGCGTTATTCAAGATGATTCCAAAATAAGACTTTAAATTCCTGATAAAACAACCTAGAAAGTAATCGTTAGTATTTGTATTAGTATCAAAACAATATGGTTTTTGTTGTCTGCTTTTTTTTCAAAAATCTAAATCATGAATTTTGTTTGGAACAAAATGAAACAAATAATTCATTTTTTCCGAAAACGGGACAAAACGAAAATTGTTGGGACGCTGGGACAAATGGCATAAAACCGGGACAATCCCGGTCAAAATGGGACGTATGGTAAGTCTATATATATATATATATATATATTTATATATATATATATATATATATATATATATATATATATATATTATATATATATATATATATATATATATATATATATATATATATATAATATATATATATATATATAAATATATATATATATATATATATATATATATATATATATATATATGTATATATATATATATATATATATATATATATATATATATATATATATATATATATGTATATATATATATTTATATATATATATATACATATATATATACATATATATATATACATATATATATATACATATATATATATACATATATATATATATACATATATATATATATATATATATTATATATATATATATATTTATATATATATATATACAAATATATATATATACAAATATATATATATATATATATATTATATATATATATATATATATATAATAAATACAAAAAATAAATATGTATAATATATATAAAATTCAAATTTTTAATGCGAGGTTTAAATAGGGTGTAGTGATAACATCTCATAATTATTAAGTAACATTGAAAACAAACTTAACAGTGAAAAGAATGAGAAATCTAAAAATTGAACATGTCAAAAACATATATTTTATATAACATATATAAAATATATATGTTTTTATATCGTTTACTAAAAATTTCTTACTTTAAAATCTCTGGGAAAAAAATTTTTTTTTTGAGATCCAGGTTAAAATGCTTTTAAAGAAATTTTTTTTTGACAATATTAGGAATTTGAACTCTGATATCTTTAATTTTTTTTTATTAATTTAATTTAATTACCTTAAATATTAGGAATTTGAACTCTGATATCTTTAAAACTTTGATTTTGGGAAACATTGTTGGTTATTTTTAAGAAAGATGTGTTCAAGTCTAATTCAATTTTTAAAAGCAATTCAGAGAAACAGTTTCTATCACATCTAGTAGAATACTATAAGAAAAACAAAAAAAAAGTGTACATATATATAAAACATAGTGTATGCAAAAAAAAAGTAAAAGTAAAACTTAGTTGGCCAGTGTTCATTGTAACAACTTTAATTAAATTGTTCAGGAAGGAATCTAAAAAAATGAAATCGACCAACATCAACAATTTATAATTAAACTTGCCTTACTAAAATTATAATAAAGATCAAAATTACAGGTGTTAAGTTTAACTTTGAATAGCTTAAGTTATTTTATTAGATTCCTTGCTTCAAAATATGTAACTGCGCATATTATCAGCTTTCTATTGCACAAAGAACAGAAACAAAGAATAAAATCATTTTTTAAAATGGGGTATTTTTGATGGTTCATGGCAAAGATTAATTAGTCATTTCTTTGCGCTTGGAATAAGATGATGAAATATTGGGGATGTTTATAACTTATTAAAATCTTTGAATGGTGTAAAAATTAGCAAAATTTGAAACTAAAGGTTGCATCCCCTGGATGTTTTCAAATAGAGTCCTCCTAAAACAAATACCAACTTACTTTCAAAACCAAGGTTCTTTTTTAAAACTTCAACTTCTTCATTCAAATTTTTTATATATGAATAGTCATGTTGAGCATCTAAAGCCATGTTTAAAATCATTCTATAACTATTATCAACATCATTACATAATGTTTTTATTTCAGTTAAGATTTTTTGCTTAGGTTGATTGCTTTCATTCTGTTTTTCTATTGTAGATTGTAATTCACTCATATAACTTTCAAATTCATTAATGAGATTTAGTTGTTGTATTTCAATTTGTTGTTTAGCATATTTGTAGTTCTTTCTTAGCAGTTGAATTTCTTTTTGATTTTGGGAAACATTGTTGGTTATTTTTAAGAAAGATGTGTTCAAGTCTAATTCAATTTTTGAAAGCAATTCAGAGAAACAGTTAATACAACAATTTTTTTGGTGTTCCCTGATATACTCTTTAAATGAGTTATATTTTTCATTGATTTTTTTTATTGAATTATTTGATTCATTCCTTCTCTTAATTTTACGATAAGCAAGAACAAAAAGTACAAATGTTATAGCAGTAAATATGATGTAAAACAAAATGTGTTCATCTGAATAATTGCCATATATGACAGATATTGCTGCTAAAAATACTATATTCCAGATAAAATTGAGATTATTTTCCAAAAGACAAATAATCCAGTTGTTCTGCTTTTGATCTTTTTCAGTTAAATTTTCAATGCAGGAGTTGTATTTGATTTCAGCATCTTCTGAATCACCTTAAAACAAAATGTAAAAGTTACATGCTATAAAAGTATTATTAACCTTGTTTTTTAAAATAAATGAAAACAATGGTATAATAAAATTAGATTCAATAAACTCTTTAACAAAATGTAGAAAGTTCCTAGAAAAAATAACTTGAAAAAAAAACTTTTTTTTTAATTTTTCTTTAATTAATACTTATTTATATTAATATTTAGGTTTGTATAAAAAACTTTAATCTGCATTACGTTTACATCTAGACATTTTCATATAGTATGTCAGAACACTTGTGAAATTTTTCAACATGCTTTGTTGTTCATGATCAATTTTCAGACATAATCTTATGGCAAAAGAAACATTTAACTTTTTCCATTTTGTAAATTAGGTTCAGAGGTCTAAATAAATGGGCAATTAAGTTTTTATTTCTACCCCCTGTATGGAGAGCTTAAAAATAATTGATTACTAACAAGAAGAACATTAAGAAATTACTCAATAAATTAAAGATATTCTTTCTTTCTCTCTCTCTATATATATGTATGTATATATAGATATTATGGTGCCTTCAAACCCCTTCAGATAAAAAAATCACAACTCAGTGTTTTTAATGTATTGTGGTTATCTTTTGTTTATCCTTTTATAGACTTTATTGCAGAAAAACTGCAGCTTTTATATCAAAAAAAAAAAAAAGATTCTATAAGTTTTTGATATCTTTTTTTCACAATTTTTTTTTTGGATTTATACAAAAATTTCCCTTTGTTTAAGTACAAAGTTTATCTATTTTCAAAGAACAAAAATTTGTTAAAAACAGTATTAGAAACCTGTTGAATAGAAAATGAATTTGAGCATGGACTAAATATTTGGACAATTAAACTTGAATTAGACTTTAATTAATCATAAAGAGATAACCACAACATTAAAAAAACTGAGCTCTGAGCAGTACTCCCTCGTTCCAATGATCTTTAGCGGAAAATTGGCAATTTTTTTGCCAAAAAAAAAAAAATTAAAAAAAAAAAACAACGCAATCGAAAACAATCTAGAATAGTCCCTGATATATATATATATATATATATATATTATATATATATATAATATATATATATATATATATAATATATATATATATATATATATATATATGGGTAATTCCGCAAGAAAAAGAAAAAAAAAAGTTAGGAAAACATATGCTAACCTCAATAAATTCTTTTTTTAACTATTTAAAAATACTTTTAAGCCAAAAAATGATTTAAAAAATCATTTTATCATACCATAGCATTGTTTTAAAGTTGTAAGGGTTATATAAACAATTTTTTACATTTTTATATAGTCCTGTTGTGAAGCTTTGAACAAAGTTAATGTGATATTATTTATAAAAACGCACTCCAACTATGTATAAAAAAATATATATTCATTAAATTAATGTGTTATGACTGTCAGGAAAATAAGTCAAGAAGTGTTTTCTAGACTTTGTATCAGAATTTATAAGGTTAAAAATATAGTATAAGTAAAGATACTGATATAAATCTTATCATTGTTTTGATTTTTTTTTAAAAAAAGAGCTTCAGGCGATAGTATCAAGATGTAACAAAGTACGTTACGACCATCATGCTATATTTGTTTTTCTATAATGGCTTCTTGACATCTATATAAAAAAAGTTTCAGCGCGAACGATTTTATTAATAAAACAAAATTAAAAATCATTTGCATTTTGTTTACTCATAATAATGCTAAGCTTGTTAAAGGGACTACCAAGTCCCAAGACATGTTGTGTTCATATTAAGAGAATGTTAAAAAAAAAACGTCTGAGCAAATTTTTTTTGATTAAAACTAATTAATAAATGTATACCAAGAAAAACAAACCTTGTTGTTTTAGACGAAAATCGTCTTCTCCGTTTTCTTTGGTATTTTGAGTATGTAAAATAAACGCAATTTTCCAGGCGATTATACAGACTTGATAATTTATTTAAGCGCGTTTAATTCATAGGAGTTTTAGAGCAGAAAGTTGGCAGCAGAAAGTTTAATTCATAGGAGTTTTAGAGCAGAAAGTTTGCAACCAAAGCTTGAAAACAATTTTGAAATTAATATTTTTACTTTAAAAAAATTATTTTATAAACTTATGTTGGAAACAGGGAGCATTAACCATTTAAACTTTAGTAAAGTATTAAAGTATAAATAAATAAAACAGCCTACCTTTAGTTACCAATTTTAAATTTAACAAACTCAGTATCAAAAAACCATAATTGAGAACATTAATAATGTTATAAGTTTATACTTTTACATAGTTGACATGGTTTTTATGATTATTTATCTTTTTTTTTTTGATTGCCTTGTTTTATTTATTATTTTTCAAAATTAGATTTTTCGCTACAACCGTCACAGTTACGACTATCACAACAAAGAAACATAGAAATGCTTATAATGCATCAAGTAAAATCTATGAAACTCAGCATATAATAACATCAATATGTGCTTAATACGCACACCAAATGATTTTTTTTTTTACCATGCTGTTTGCTGCAATTAGTTTGACAAAGCTGTTTTGTTCAGAAGTGGTAAAAAGTAAACATTATGACTGTCACGCTACGCAGAGTTAATTTTTGAAAAAAGTATAAGACTTCAATACTAACTTTAGCATACAAAATTATGTAATAGTATTCCACATTTCTGAGAAGCTTCAAGTCATTTCCATTTTTGGTTCATTTTTAATAGCTTAGATAACGCCAAATGTTACGACTGGCACTCGCGCGGAATTGCCCATATACATACATACACACACACATATATATATATATATATATATATATATATATATATATATATATATATATATATATATATATATATATATATAATATATATATATATATATATATATATATATATATATATATATATATAAATGTGTTCTATCTATTACAAAAACACTAGGTTTAAAATTTTTATGAATAAAAAGTATTTTGAGGGGTCCCACAAGACCCTCGAATGTTTAATGAGTCCATAATATTTTCAAAAAAAAGGTTTATCTAAATTATGTCAACCTGGTACTCAAATGAAGCGAAATTATATAAAAATTTCAAAAATAATATTCATTTTGAAAAAAGAAATGTTATTTTTGAATTTATTACATTAAAAATTACATTTTTTAACAAAAAATGTTGTTTTTTTTTAAATAATTTCGATAAATAAGTTAAAATTTTTTCAAAACGAATATTATATTTGAAATTTTTTATAATTTTTCTTCATTTGAGTACCAGGTTGACATATTTTTGAAAAAATTTATTTTTGAAAATATTAGGGGCCCATTAAATATTCGAGGGTTTTGAGAAACCCCTTAAATAATTTTTTAATCAAAAAATTTTAAACCTAGTGTTTTTGTATTAGATAGAACACGTTTAGGGGGTGGGAGCAGATTATTTTCAAAATTTTTTTTTTGGGGGCACCATAATATATATATATATATATATATATATATATATATATATATATATATATATATATATATATATAATATATATATATATATATATATATATATAATATATATATATATATATATATATAATATATATATATATATATATATATATATATATATATATATATATATATATAATATATATATATATATATATATATATATATATATATATATATAATTATTATTATTATTGCTATTATTATTATTGTTGTTGAGTTTTATTATGTGTAATTAGTATATTTTAGATTACTTTTATGTTGGCTTAGAATTATAGACTATTAAATTTACTACACAACCATTTATTCTCCATATTTTAATGGATAAATATCTAAGACTGAAAAGATTTGACAAATCCTAATTCTGCATCAGCTTCTAAACAATGGTTAAACTGATTTAGAACTTTTATAAACTTCATGAAAACTATACAAACAGAAGATAAATTAGATGTCCTCATTAACTATTTATCTCCTTCAATGTTCGACTATATTGCTGACATTGAATAATTTGATGGTGCTATGGAAATTCTGAAAAACTTATTTGTAAAACCTAAAAATGAATTATTTTCTAGACATCAGTTAGATTTACATAAACAATCATCCAGAGAATCTATATGAGTTTTTGCAGGCCTTATGTACTCTCAGTAAAGATTACAACTTAAAACTGATTTCTGCTTCAGAATATTGCGAAGAACACATTTGTGATTCATTTATAAGTGGTCTAAGCTCTTGTCATATTTCCCAATGACTTCTAGAAAACTCTACTCTTAATCTTACTGAGGTCTATAATCAAGCTCTATCATTGGAAAATATTCAAAGAAATAAGGAAATGTATTCAAAGACAGAGTTTAGTAATGTTGCTACCTAACAATCTAAAAAACATTCTCGATAATCATGTCCTGCCAGAGATGCAGAATGTAACAATTTTGGTAAGAAAGTATGCAAATCATCAAAGAACTTCGTCACATCTGCTGCTGCTAATCTCTATGCAAGTTTAGCCTTGATTATTTCCTCTTCTATCAACTTGCTAAAGTCTATTGTTTATATCTTTATTGCTAGGGCCAAGGTAAGAACTCTTCTTGACACTGGAAACTCTGACACATTTATAAGCAAATCATTATGTAACTCTTCAAAACTTAACATTCTCACATCTAATAAAAGAGTCTTTATGCTGATCCTTCCTTTTCTTGTCAAGTTATAGGTAAAATTTTAACTAACTTTTACTTCACTTTCACTTTATTTGGTATGGAGTACTCTAATAAATACTTTTTGGCAAATTCTTGCAAACAAATCTTGGTAATTGGTAGAGAATTCCTACAGTTGCACAAAAGCCTTTATATCAATTATGGTGATAAAAAAGACTCTAAAAGATCTGTTCTCTACCAAGTGACAGATTGCTTCACCTTCTAGACAATATAACTCAGAGGACAAAGCATTTATTGAACAAGAAACAAAAAAACTTTTGGAACTTGATATAATTGAACCCAGTAACTCTCCTTGGCGATCACAAGTAGTTGTTAATAGGAACGATAGACATAAGCAATGCATGGTCATTGATTACTCAAAAAATAAATGCTTTACACTACTTGATGGTTATCCTTTACCTAACATCAATGAATTAGTTAACTATGTTGCAAAATATTTATTATGTAGCATATTTGATTTAAAAAGTGCTTACCACCTACAACTTCTCCTAGAAAGTGATAAAAATTATACTGCCTTTGAGTCTAATTGACATCTTTTCCAATTTAGAAGAACTCCTTTTTGGCCTCACTAATGCTGTTATACCATTTCAAAGAATAATGAATAAGTTTATTCAAGAAAACAAATTAGAAGACACCTTTGTATATCTAGATAACTTACTTGTATGTGGTACTTCTAAAAATAAACATGATTTTAAATTTCTCGAAGCTTCTAAGAAAGCAATGTTTAAATATAATGAAGAGAAGTCTATATTGTCTACTTTGTGTATAAACTTCCTAGGTTTTATTATAAAAAGTGGTTCTTTTATTCCATATCCAGATCACTTAAAGCCATTAATTGAAATGCCTGCTCCCACCCATAGTGCTTCCCTTTGTAGAGTCTTTGGTATGTTCTCATAATATTCCCAATAAATCAAACATTTTTTTGACAAAATTCATTTTTTATCTCTAACTTCTATGTTTCCACTGTCTGCTGAAGCTATTAAATGTTTCAATGAAATGAAAGAATTAATCTCTCAATCAGCTCTAAAAATTATTGATGAAAGTATCCCGTTGGGGAAGGGGGGAACAGATGCGTTTGATTTTGCCATAGCTGCTTCCCTCAATCAGGCTGGAAGACCAGTTGCATTCTTTTCTTTTTCAAACTTCTACCTACTGAAAACAAACATTCTTCTGTTGAGAAGAAAGCTTATGTTGTTGTGGAATCTCTTCAAAAATGGAACCGCTACCTTGTTGGTCAGCATTTTACTCTAACCACCGACCAGTGCTCTGTCTTTTATATGTTTGACAACAACATTAGTAGAAAAATTAAGAATGACAAGATTCTGAAGTAGGGGGTAAAACTTTCTTTGTACAGCTATGATATAGTTTTTCGCTCTGAACGTAACAATTTTGTTGCTGATGCCTAAAAAAACCCATTTCTTTGTGTCATTTTGTGCGGAATTAAAATGTAAATACCATGTAAGCAATTTTAACCACACATTAATAAAATCTACTCAGTTCCTGTTTGAACAACTAAGCATGGATTTTAAAGGACCTATTCTGGCTTCATCTAGCAATAAACATTTCTTAGCAGTTGATGAGTTTTCAAGATTTCCTTTTGTATCTCCTTGTTGTGATATCTCTACTTTTACTGTAATTAAACATTTAACTCAACTTTTAACTTTTTTGGTATGCTAGCTTTTATACATTCAGATTGAGGCATTCAGATTGCTTTGCGTCAACAGAGCTCTACAGTATTCTCAATTCTCGAGGCGTCAACCTGAGTAGAACTACTCAATTATAATCCTTAGAGTAATAGTGAAAATAGGGAAATTAAAGATATACAATGATATTATTTGGAAAAGATTTTTGCTTGCTCTCATATCAAAGAATTTATCTACCATGAGCTGGGAATATGTATTACATGATGTCCTTTTAGAGGTAATTAAAATAAATACCTGATGATATGAGACCAATGTTGCTTCAAGACATCTTGCACTAATGGCTGATATAACTTATACAGATTAAACATGACCACGCCAAGATTTGATTGTACAAAAATATCATCTCGTTTTGCAATGTAGAAAGCCTGCAAAGAAAAGTTAGTATGATCTGACTAGTCCTTATAATTATTAATTTATTTCTGAAATGTATAATTCCTTTTATTTTGTATTTAAATAGTCGTTTTATCAAATAATCAAGTTATAATATATATAGTTATAACCACAACCCTCAGAATTAAGGTGAGTTTCCACTCATCCGTTTTTCTACGGGAAAAGGAAAGGGAACGGAAAAATAATCACGTGAGCATGCGCAGTTTTCTTTCGGACAAATAAAAACTTTTATTACGCATGCTCACGTGATTATTTTTTCCTTTCCTATCCTGTTCCCATTGAAAAACGGATGAGTGGAAACTCTTTAGGGTCTTTAGGGTCGGCATTCGGCAATCCTGACATAACTGCCGACTTGAAATTGTTTGAGATTGACAAAAAATTCCCGACCTTACTTCTTTGTTTTATGATCAGACCTTTGTATCAAATATTTTTTGCTGATCTGATGCCAACCTCAAAAAGATTGACGTCGGCAAATTATTGCCAACCTCATTTTTCCTCATTCCGAGGGTTGTAACCAAGTTAAAACATAAAAATATAGTTTTAACCAATTTTAAATACCACATGTTGTTAAGTGAACGATAATTGATACAGAAATAAATATTGTTTTTATTAAATTATATTATGATGGTAGGCATCATGACAATAAAAAGTGAAGTTTATCCTTATTTCAATATACCCAGGAAGAAAAATTTAAGGAATAGACCAAAAATTGACACCAAGATCTTTTGAAGAATAGATTAATATTGACCACTATGGCTGTGTGGTCCTGATTATTTTTGATGTTCCAAAATTATTAGTAAATTAGATAGTCTATAAATATAATGTTTAATCTTGTTTTTAATACAAAACAGATAGTAAATCAGAACACATAATTATGTTAATAAAGTATATCATTTTTTTGAGCTACATCATTTTTTTAAGACGCTTTAGCATTAAATTTTTTGAATTAAGCAGCCCAGTTATCATTATTTAAATTAAAGCATTACAATTAAATATTATAAATTTAAATTTATATTTTAGTATTTGTTTAATTTTTTGTTTGATAGTTTTTATAAGTTTGATGTTTACAACCTCTTTTAAACAAATGCAAAAATTTTAACTTAATAGTTATTATAATGCTTTTTAAAAAAAAATTATTAGGCTATTTAACTTGAACTATGTTATGTAACTTTATGTTATGCTAACAGGGTAAGCAGATTTAGGGGTAAGCATGAAAAAGTCTTTAAGGCTAAAACTCATTAGGGGTAAGCAGAATAATTTAATGACCTCACATTCCTTCTTTATTTATTAGGCTGATGTAGATGAACACCTGTTTTAAATTGTTTTCTGAATAATGAATGCTAGATCTTCTTGAATCTACTTATTGATTTTTTCTTACATCAAGTCAATGCAAAGCAACAAATAACCTTGACTTTGTGGAGCAGGATATTACCATTTTCTGCAGCATGTTTAATATTTGAAAGTGTTTTTTGTCCTGAAAACATTAGTTATATATATATATATATATTATATATATATATATATATATATACTATAAATATATATATATATATATATATATATATATATTGTTGTGAAACCGTAATAAATAAGTCTATATTAAATATTTTCGGCTTTTATCAAATATTAAATCAAACACACTTCGAGATCTACAAAACAGATTTTATAACACAACAATTAAATATAATTAGAATAACTTCATTCAATATAATTCAATATAATTAGAATAAGTTCATTCAACCGTATTCTATAATGACGTGATTGGCGTCAAATAGTTCTTAAGAATATAACAGTCTTCTCCGTTTTAAGAAAGTTTTAGTACGGCTTACTCTTGAATAATACTCTAAGAAAGAAAGTAGTCGTCGAGGTACTTTGGCCTTTTAATAGTACGTCCTGTTCGTGAGATTATATTAGGTTGTGTGTCAGGAGTAATAACCTTTTGAATAGATGGTTGGTTAGGTACTGTTGTAGTTGATTGATCATAAGAGAAGCTATCTTTATTGGATTCCCAAACGGATGCAGTAGGTTCGAAACTACTTCGTTGGTATCATTTAATTCAACTTGTTTTCTATTTTCAGAATTGTGGTTGTTGTTACTAATTACAATTTCGTTGTTGTTCGAGCATTCGGGGTGTTGTTGGACTGGTTCTATTAAGGGATTTGTATCTTGTAGTGGAGCAAGATCTTTTGTTGAAACTGTATCAATTTTTCCATTTTGAAGTTTCACGTGTGCGAAATGAGGCGATATTGTTTCTAATAGTTGAACTCTGTCGACAAGTGGATCTCCCTTTAATCGTATCTGATGTCTGTATAAAACTGTCGAATCCTGCTCTGTTAAGAAGTTTGGTAGAACTGTACCTATTATTGATGAACGCTGAAAGTTCATCATCCTCTGATGAGGTGTCTCGTTTGTAGCAGTACACAGAAGTCCTCTTATAGAGGATAGAGCCATTTGCAATGCTACCTCCCATCTATCTTTTCCCAGACTCAATGTTTTTAGGGCCAGACTAATAGCTTTAAGTATTGTTCCATTCATAGAATCGTTCCATTCATTAGAAGGTGAGTAAATTCCAGCGACAAAAGCGTCGCAAATTAGTAAATTAATATGTTGTTCTGCTGTTAGAGGTTCTGTTGGACATTTTCTTGCGAATTGTTTCAGGCTACTCATGAAGCTTTCGACTGTTTCCCCTTCTTGTTGCTGAAAAGAGCGAAGTTTGTGGCGCATCATAATAGGTGTTGATCGTTTTTGATATTTGTTATCAAGTATTTTGATTGCGTCATCAAATGATGTAGTATCCTGAATTATTGTGAAAGCTTTAACACCGGATAGTACGAATAAAACTTGGAGTTTGCAATCTTCGTCTATGTTAGCTTTATCTAAATAAATTGATAGCATTTTTTCCAGTATATATACTCTTCTTCGTTTGGTTCGTCGCATAGTACTTTTTTAAATATTTTTGCATCCATAATATAAATAAAAAATATTTGATAAAATTGTTGTGAAACCGTAATAAATAAGTCTATATTAAATATTTTCGGCTTTTATCAAATATTAAATCAAACACACTTCGAGATCTACAAAACAGATTTTATAACACAACAATTAAATATAATTAGAATAACTTCATTCAATATAATTCAATATAATTAGAATAAGTTCATTCAACCGTATTCTATAATGACGTGATTGGCGTCAAATAGTTCTTAAGAATATAACAGTCTTCTCCGTTTTAAGAAAGTTTTAGTACGGCTTACTC